GCAGAAAGGAAGGGAGGGGTGCCCACAACATAGCCCCACTTCTGGGTCAGTGGCCAGGGAGGCCCCATGCAACAACTGAAGGTCAAAGGTGGCTCCCGGGCTTGGAAGGAGCCTGAGTGCCAGGGACAGCAGCAGGGGGCAGGTGGGAGCCCTGGGAGCAGGTCCCTTAGCCGCTCAGGCGCTGCTCCCTGGAGGCCCTGGGGGCCATAATGGCTGGAGAGGCAAGAAGGGGAAGAAGAAGAAGGGACCAGCAGTGTCATTCAAAACCCCAGCAACCACCCTCCCCGGCACACCGTGCACACACACCACCCCTGCTGGGGTTTCAATCCAGGCTCCGACACTTGCTAGCCCGTGTGAGGGGTGAGGACTTGGCTAATTACTGACTTTCCTAAGTTCATTTCCTCATCTGAAGAGCGGCCACTTCCTCACAGATGCAGCTGTCATGTTGATTAAAAGGAGCTGGTTCGCATGGCAGCCGTCAGCAGAAAGCCAGGCGCAGAGCCGGCCAGCACTCTGGTCGCCTGACCCAAGTTGAAACGCCGCTTCCCTGCTGACACGGCTGTCACCGGGAAACTGAGGCACCTGCGTGAAGGCTTGGCTCGCAGCCACAGGAGGACAGCAGTGGGGCGTGAACTGGCCAAGCCCTGCCTTCCGGGCACCCGGGTGCACCTCCGTGCTCGGGACCCACAGTGGAAAGCCCCTGTTCACGGGCACAGCCTAAGCTGTGCAGACAAGCTGCGGCCCTGAGGCCACGGGCACCCGGCCTGCCGGGCCCCAGATGCCCTTTGGAACGCTCTGTATGGGTCACAGGAGCAGCACTGAAGAATGAACGCTGTCCCCGCTGGCACAGGGAGAAAGCTCAGAGGGCAGGAATGGGTAGGAAAGAGGAACACAGGGAAGAGGTAACCACAGGGAGGAAGTGGGAAGAGGCTGTTACATTGTGGGGACTGCAGTCTATGTCATGAAACAAAACGTGTATGAACTGTTCAACAGAAAACAAATCTGCTCCGTAAACTCTCACCCAAATCCCAACACAAAGTTTTTTTTTAAAAAAAGAATGAACACTGTCCCTAAAGGTCACCTTTCTTTGCTGACACAGAGGAACGTTATTGTAAAATTACTCAACAGACGGACAACAGGCAGAGCTGCCTAAGGCCTCCCCAGGCCCCTTCTCCCTGTCTCTCTTCTCAGGGCCTCACGGAGAGGCATCCTGACTACACTGGGCCTGCACCCCAAACTGCAATGCAACTCACAGCGCCCCTCGAGGACGGAGTGGAACGGCCCCACAGGGTTTCCAAGGGTGTACTCTTTACGGAAGCAGATTGCCTCATCTTTCTCCCATGAGCCTGCATGGTCCTACCTTATCTTTCCAGACACAATTTCCTGCACATATTAGGGACCCTGGGGAAAGTGGAAAAAAAAAAAAAAAAAAAAAAACCCAGGAGGGGCCAGGCAGGTGGGCGTGGGGATGGAAGTGGATGTAATTAGCAGCTCTCATGTCCATGTCCACACACCTCCAGCAAGCTGTTCTGCGTGCGGGGAGCCAGGTCGGAGGAGCCCACGGACACGCAGGCGCTTGCCCGGGAACTGGGCTCTCTGAGAGGGAAACACCTGCTTTCCACATGGTCAGCGGTGGGCAGCCTGGGACCTCAGCCCTGACGCTGACTTCCTCTGTGGGGGGAGGGGGCTAGGCCCACAGGGGGCCTTTGCATGACCGATGGGTGGGGTGTCCAAGGAGGACAAACGCACTCATTCTCCCGTCCACCTAAGGGTCACCACCCCTGGGAGCCACCCCTCAGCACATCCAAGAGGCACGGTGTCATGCTCCTCTCCTGCCAACAGACACTGCCAGCAAACGGCCACAGCTCCGCCCAGCCGGGTTAAGTTTTAGTGAAACATTTAAACCGAGACGTTTAGGGGACAAGAAGGGAAAGTGAGGGCCAGCAGACAAAGGCTCTGCTCTCCTCCTCTCCCAGTGGGAAGCCCCTCCGCCAGAGAGTAAGGCAGACGTCGCACTTGGCTTTCTTCTTCCGAAAATGATGGGGCGTCCGTGAGGCGCCGTGTAAGCACCGCTTAGAAGCCTCTCCCAGAAGAACCATCAGCATCACTGCTGATCTCCCCAAGTCCCAACTAGGAAAGGAAGCAGAGGGGGTGGGACAGGGGGCGAGGTGGGGTGTACGTGCACGTGCACTGGGGGTGGACCCCAGCTGGGCAGGGGCCAGGGTACGTCATGCATCTAGACCTGGGTTCAGAACCTCTCAACCTGCTCAACTCTGGAGTCAAGCTGTCAAAGGGAGCCCAGTGGGGCCCAGTCAGGAGGAAAACACGGGCCACCGAACCCCAGACTCTTGCTCTCAAACACCTTCCTCCCTCCCTTTTCTGAGGGCCAGGCTCAGCAGCCAGTGACATCCCGGGAAGACACACTCCTTCTGCGGGCTGCCGTCTCTTACCCAAAGACACGTACTCACAGTGTTGGACCACCCAAAAGCAAGGCAAGCACAGCTTACTTGTGCTTACTGTCTGATCTGTACTGAACGATTACACGTTTTCTCACCACACCAAAGACTCTGCTTCCAGGGATGCCTGGCATCTGTCTTTTCCAACCCCAAGCACCTTCCTGCAGAATCAAAGCCTCTTTCCAAATTTCCAGTTCCCAGCAGAGATAGAGTGCCCAGCAAGCAAGATAAGCACGGGCTTCTTTGTGCTTATTTACTCATGTGAGCGAATCATTTCACACCGAAGAAACAGTTCAGGACAGATGAGTAAGAAAGCACACGTAAGCCCGTGCTTATGGGGTACTCCATCCATGTCCTCACCACTGACCGCCTGACGGCCGGCTGGGGTGGAAGCGTTGTGCAAAGCTCAGCCTCTGCCTGATGGCCCAGTCAGGGGAGCCACCCCTTCCTCCACCTGGAGGCAGCAGGAAAGAAACTCTTTGGGCCTCTTTCTCTCGCCTTTGAGGGTAACGCAGTCCAATTCTCTAGCCTTGTCTCGCCAAAGGACAGGGCTTTTGTTTTTCTGGCACCATCTTAAAGCCAGGCTGGGACAGTGACAGAGCCGTATATAACACAGAGCAAAACATAGCTCCTGCCTTTTCACGAGGGGCCCCAAATCCCCTCTCTGAACTCCCAGAGTGACATTTACCACCAGATGGAGGGAACCTAAAATCCTAACTGGCTACTTATACACCCGATTGGGACAGACAGACAAACAGAGCACTTTCAGCAGGTTCACTGCCTGAAAAACAAAATGCCGCAGGTTTCTCAGCACCCACAGCAGGGCCCCCATGACACCCACACTCCAAGCCCCAAATCTCAGTCTGCTGGCTGCAACTGCAAAGCTTGACCACTGCTGGGTGGCCTAGAGGGAGCCGGGTTCAGAAAAGATTTGCAAGTTAACTATAAACAAACCTGAACACTTTGCTCTCTCACTCAGTTTTCCCGTCTGCAGCTGCGGGGCGGGCTCTGCTCTGAGCCGGTCAGGTACCACCCACCTGTCCCCGTGCTTCCCCCGGAAAGCACTCGGGCCCTGATGCTCCCCGTCCTTCCGCCAAAGGGGCCTGGGCAGAAACACAGCCCAGTGCTGGC